AGCTAGAACTACCTGCGGCACTCTTCTTCATCACCCTCTACCATATATCCTTACAGATGAAGTTTTCAAAACACTATGCAACTTTCTCCAAGACAGTTTCTTACTTGAATACATCAGACAGTGATTTTCTCCTAATTTGAATGCAGAAGCTTAGACAGGACTCAGTGAAACTTTAAATTTTCCCTTTTCCACTGCAAATATATTCTCCACATATTAATTCATCTTAGTCTAGAAGCTGGATTTAATGTTTTATAAGATATTTTTTTTTAAATCAAGGTGCAGATGTGGGGAATTGTATCCTGACTAGATGTGTGAAAGGAATATTAAAACAGTTGTGTGAAAAAAAAGTCTCATAAAACATCCAATCCAACAGTTTTTCAAAATGCTACCAATAATGCATCATGACAACAGAATGGATTCTTAATGAAAAAATACATTAGAAAGTCCAAGTATGCTATAATGCACAGTGACATCGCAATGGGTCATTGCTTTTGTTTGCACAGAAGTCAAGGGCACAGTCTAGCTGTACACTGCACAACACATGAAATGTGAGATGCCAGATTGGCGTGGTCAACTATATTATCGTCCAACATCTGTCTCCCTACTACACATACCATAGCTGCATGCCTAGTCAGTCACTGAATGTAAGCGGTCGGTTTAGAGCAGCAGTCACATTAAGATCAGACAGTCAAATGTCTTAAATGATATATATTACATTAAATTGTGTAAAAATTCAAACTACTAAATTAATGTAATGCCTTCCTTGAAATCCCTTGATCTTTTCCTTTGTTTGCTTGTTTTTGTTTGTTGCTATCTAATTATGTATCACGAATGCTAGCTAATTATTTATTTTGAAAATGTAGGAACGAGCTTGTATCTCAACATGTGTGATGTGATTTGTTGGGCAGAGACTACCAAGATCCAATCAAAGAAAATGCCATCAAAACATAAAAAAACACACACTAACACACTATGTTCTCTCTTCATTACAAGCACTCAAATGACAATCATGAAAGTACACTTATACGTGCACACACCAAAAGCCACTTCGATTTTCCACACAATAGAGATTTCAACCTTTAAAACAGAAGACTACCTAATAGTTTGCTATTACATTCTTAACTCAGTTTATGTAGAAAGGAAATTCGGTTGTCAACTTACTATGAAAGCCAGAAAATTGTGTTTAGTCTGTGATTTTATGGCTGAAGAAGCAGACAAGACTGCTGTATAGCAAACATATGGACTATGGCATACTATTTAGGAAATTATTAGACAGGTTTGAACACAGTATTTAGTTCTGTCTGGCAAAGGAAAGACAAAGGTCTTTCAATAGGCAGTCTGTGAATAATTTCATTTCTTCAACATTCACTTCACATATTTTAACTTTCCATATGTTCATCACAAATATATTTAACTTCATAAAACATATATTTGCAATATACGTCTTGTTTATGATTGGCCCTTCTTGCATCTAAACTAATTTATGCTTTCAGTTTATATTGTTTGGCAAAACGATCATCTGGCAAAAGGGACAGTGTGAGTTAAATTACAGCAAATATCTACAAAACGTTAATATTTAGTAATCTTTCTTCTTACCTGAGAAACTGATTTGAAGTATATTCCTCAACATTCCAATGGTGGAAGGATCTTTTAAAATGAATGGCCAACAGGGATGATCCTCATGACTGCTCAAACTCTTTCACTACAGAATTGTTTGCTTCTCCAGAAAGGAAAGGGGCACTTTCCTCTTTTGAAGGAAACTCCTGATAATTTCCTTCCTCTGTACGACAATAACAACTGCATTCAAGCAACCAGGTCCTATCCTGTGTTTAAAGCAAAGCTTTCACAAAGCCCTTTTCAATAAGAGGCGTCTGTTACGTTTGTGTTGATGAAATTTAATGTGTCATAGATTTTTAACTATAACATATTACAATTATTATATAAAACCATTAAACATGGTATTTTTGTGAATTACCAGTAAATTTTAAGTATTTATAGTATATATTTATAAATATTGTATTTCTAATCTCATTAAATAAAATAGTCAGATATGAAAAAAAAAAAGGTTTAAAACATCTTGCAATAACGTAAGTCCTCGTGATATCATTACAAAAACGCAAGTTAAAAGTGTTTTGAAGAATAATCAGTATCAGTGATGTTGTATTTTAACTCAACCACTGGGGGGTGTAGTCACATTTTAGTTTTATATGGCCATACTCAATATCATAAAGGTTAATGATTTAATATTAACCGGAATTTAAGACTGGTCCCCATAAGATATAAACCACAAGGTTAAAAGTAAGTAAGTCTTACTGGGTGAGGATGTGGGTAATTATAGAGGCTACAAACCCAGAAACATGGGGTATAGTACATCAGTAGTGAAATAGATACTTGGTTTTACCACACAAGTTCACTTGCAGTGTTTCAGTACAGTGTTGAGCTATTTTAAAGTGTTAAATATAAAGATGGAAAAAATTCTTCATTATTCATATTTTTTCATTATTCATTATTAATAAAAATGTATATAATTCCATTTTTTGTTGCTAGATGATAAATATGGCATTGTGATTTGAACTCTTTGAACAAATGCTACTTCCAGATGATAATACATGTTAGCATAATAGGTTACTACCAGCGTCAACACATGTTACAGTGTTGTAGCTGTGTTTGATTTGTTAAGGTGTGCTGCATAAGTTAATGTAATTGGGGTTTTTTGTTTGTTTTTTGCTTTTTGTTTTTTTGTTTGTTGTTGTTTGTTTTGTTTTTTGTTTTTTGTTTTTTTTTGGGGGGGGGGGGGGGGGGGGGGCTTTTTCAAAGGAAAATGGGGAAAGAGACCCCTAAAAGTAAAACCTCAGTATTTTTTGCTTATTTGTTTGTTTTTGGTGTTTTGTGAAACACAGTTGAGGCAGGTAAGGAGCTTTTAAGTAAAACAGTTTTATTTTATTTTATTATATATTTCTGCTTTCTGTACAATCCATAGTATCACAAGCAGTGACACAGGTCTGCAATTATTTACTTTTTTCATTAATGCAAAAGGCCTTTGGTTTTGTTGAAGAGTAAATGTGTGTACTTTGGTAAGCTTCATTTTGAGAATAACTCCAAACTAGTAATAAAAATTGAAGACACATTACAGACCTTCTAAATTTGAATTAAGAACTCTGGAGTCAGGTATAAATTTGTTGTGTTTTGTTTTTACATCAATTTTTGAAAAGCTCATCATTTTTACTAAAGTATATTATTTTTTTTGCGGGTCGTATTTAAAATTTAAATTAAAATAAAAATTAAAAAAAGTTGGAAATATTTGAATTTATATATAATGGATATAAAACAAATAAAAGTCAGATTTTTTGTTTTTGTTTTGTTTTAGTGATATTGAGTTGTACAGTATATGTTCAAGGTTCAAGGTTCTTTATTTGTCACATGCATAGTTATACAAGTATAACACACAGTGAAATGTAACCTGACACGCTCCTCGACATGTGCAAAAAACAAAAAAAAGGGGGGGGGGGGGGGGTAGAGGAAGTACATTATATATATAGTATATATATGTGCTAATCTGTTGACTCTCTCTCCCTCAGCTGGTCGACACAATGCAATTTAAATTAACAGAGTTGGCAAAAGCCAATATAAACTAAATGTGACAGGAGGCATTTGGTGCAAAACCCTCCATTATTTAAAAAAAAAACTACTGTTAACTAAATAATGAAGCTAAGCTTCCACTTCAGCAACTTATCAGTGACATAGGTGTTTTTTTTTAATTATTGTGTTTTTTAAATTAATGTAACTTATAGTTTAAGTATATCAGTAGAATATATAAGAATAATTACATAAGAATCATTTTACTGTCAACTCTCTAATTCAATTCGATTATATTTATTCCGTGCCAAATCACAACAACAGTCGCCTCAAGATGCTTCATATTGTAAGGTTGACCCTACAATAATGCATACAGAGAAAAACCCCAACAATCATATGACCTCCTATGAGCAAGCACTTTGGCGACGGTGGGAAGGAAAAACTCCCTTTTAACAAGAAGAAACCTCTGGCAGAACCAGGCTCAGGGCGAGGTGGCCATCTGCCACTGGCTGGGGTGAGAGAAGGAAGACAGGATAAAAGGGAGCCAGAGCCATAGGTGAGTAAAGAAGAAATACTCAATGCATCATGGGAATCCCCCAGCAACATACACCAATTGCAGCATAACCAAGAGAGGATTCAGGGTCACCTGATCCAGCCCTAACTATATGCTTTAGCAAAAAGGAAAGTTTTAAGCCTAATCTTAAAAGTAGAGATAGTGTCTGTCTCCCAAATCCAAACTGGAAACTTGTTCCATAGAAGTGATGCCTGAAAACTGAAGGCTCTGCCTCCCATTCTTCTTTTAAATACTCTAGGAACAACAGTGCAAGAGCGAAGTGCTCTAATGGGGTGATACAGTACTATAAGGTCATTCAGATAAGATGGGGCTTGATTATTCAAGACCTTGTATGTGAGGAGCAGGATTTTGTAATAATAATTATGTAACTGAGTAAAAGTTGACATTTCCTTTTTTAAATAGCTGAACTGCTTTAATACCCCAACAAAACTGGTGATCTGTCAGACCTGTGAACGCTGGGTGAATAAAAAAAAGATACAGAGCCCTACGAAGATAAGAATTTCAGTTGTTAGCTTTTCCAATGAAGTATATAAGCAAGTTAAGATATTACATATCTGTAAAAACTACTCTCTGTTTCATTATGTTTTATTCACCCTTATTACGATTTTTTTTATTATAATGATTAAACAAACACTATTAGAAATATATTTTCTGTGTGTGTCTTTCTGTGTGGAATTTGCATGTTCTCCCCATGTTTGTGTGGGTTCACTCCAGGTACTCCGACTTCCTCCCATAGTCCGAAGACATGCCGTTAGTGGGGTTAGGTTAATTGACGATTCTAAATTGCCCATACGTGTGAATGGTTGTGTTACCCTAAATAGCAACATATACTGATTTTCTTTTAAAACACTTTGAATTCAAAAAGTTTTTTTATTTAGTTTATTTGGCAGATTGCACACAAAAAAATAGACCCAAATAATGATCTCTCTTGCATCTAGTCAATACTATTTCTTTGTCTATCAACAAAGAATTTGTATGCAAACAAATTAACATCAAGGGGGTACTATTTGTGACACTTAATGCAAGCATATGGTGTGTATACAAAGAGAGAGAGTGACAGAATGAAATAAAATCATTAAACAGACCATTAATGAGTGACAATAACACATGATTAGGAAAGAGATCCTGTTTAAAATAACTGAACCAAATGAATATTTGTGGTAAACGGCAAATTTAAGCAAATACATTTTGTTTAAAATGAACAGAATACTACTGACAGCACTTGAAAATGTAAAAACAGTTGCAGTATTGGTATATACATTATCACTCTTTACAATGTGTTATAAAAAGGCATCTTTACTTACTGATTATATATTATTAAAGTTTGAAAATAAAATCACTCCCTACTTAAAAAGGTAACTGTATTTGAGTGAATAAACAACATTTTAATCTTTAAAAAAAACATATTGGTTCTGTGCAATAGACCCCTGGACACAAATATACCACAACCATTCATTAACATTTATTTAATAGAATGAAAAAGAACACAGTGAGAAAACCCTGTAACAAACTATTGATGTGAGATGGCATATATTTATTAAATCTGGACTATATACAAAAAACAATATTTATTATTACAAATTAATCTTATTTACAGTTTGAAGGGATTTTAAACAATCTCATGCACTTCTGTTTGATTACTAAAAGATATTCATAATTAACCACACTGAGATGATTGTGCATGTCTCCTTAGGTTTTAAAGAAACAAAGAGCAATTTTCAATATTAGGAGAAAACATTTGGTTGCAATTGAGGTTTTAATTTGTCTCTTTATCACTTTGTGGGTGAAACTGATAGCTCAACTTTGGGGAACCTGAAACCACCTCTTGAACCACTATCACTGCTAGAGGATGAAGACAGTCTTGATTTTTTAGCAGGTAGCGAAACACCTGCACTCCCCTCCATTCCTGCTTCACTGTCATCTCCCAGTGTCACTTCATATGAGCCCTTTGACTTTGAACCAAAACCTCCAAAAGTACCAAACTTAAGCTTGCCTTTCTTTCCCTTGACCTTGCTTCCGAGATCTAAAGAAATGTCACCACCTTCAGCCTCTAATTGAGCTGAAGGAGAACTAACTCCCCCCTCATCACTGAAAGAGGAAGATCGATGTCTTGATTTCTTAAAAAGATCAAGTGAGGCCGATTTGCCTTTAGTTGACAAACCCAGTCCAGGATCACCCTCTAATTCTATTTTTCCACCCATCATTTCCCCAGAATGTACACTTAGCTCTTTAGAGGTCTTACCTGCTTTTCCACTGCTACTTAATTCTGCCTCTGATCCGTGAAGGTCACTTACACTACTGCCCTTTGCTTTTGATTTGCCAAAAATTTTTGGCATCTTTACCTTAACTTTGCCTTCTTGTCTCAGCTCTGGACTGGGAACCTCAATATTTTGAGAACTGACTTGGCAACTAATAGATGGAGATTCTGTCTTGATGTCTACACTAGCTGCAGGTTCTGATTCAATATTTCCTCCACTTTCTTTGGTTTCCACCTGTGGCAACACAATGCCAAACTTTGGCATTGTGATTTTGGTAAATGTGACTTTACCCTCTGGGTACTGAAGGCCACCACTTGCACTTCCTCCTGAAGCACTTGCGTTTATTTCTGAATCAGTCCCGCTTTGCATTTTAATATTAGAAGATTTTACTTTCATGTTCGACCCTTCCAAGTTAACATTTGCACTATGACTGCCAGAGCCATCAATGGCAGATAAAGATCCATCTCCTTTTAGTTTTGGTGATTTTATATCTAATTCTACATCAGGAAAATGAAGCTTTCCAAACCGAGACTTCTTTGTTTTTGTTCCTTTAGCATAACTGTTTGTTATGTCTGCATTGATTTCTGTTGATGGTGTTTCTATGTCAACATCAGGTTTCTTTGCCTTTCCTTTAACTTTTGGAAGTTTAAATTTTCCTTTTTTCCCTTTTACATTGATGTCAATATCAGGGGCATCAACACTTGCATCAGTGTCTGGGAAACTAACTTCTGTTTTGAGACTTTTTGGTGCTGTACTGGGCATCTTGATATTGGATTTAGACTCTTCGAGAACTGGGGTTTTCATTGCAAACTTAGGACCTTTAAACTTAGGAAAGGTAACAGCAGTCTTTTCATCATCATTAGAGATGTTAGCATTTGGACCTTTTATGTCACTTTCAAACATGGGCACCGATGCATCCACTTCACCTTTAACTTTAGGCCCTTTTAGGTCAATTCCAATATCGGATGTTTTAAATTCATTGTCGGGTTTGGGAATGTTAATGTTAATGTCGGGGCCCTGCAACTTAGGTCCAGACAATGATGGAAGTTTCATTTTGGGTCCTTTTGGTTTTGCATAGGAACATTCAACTTCAGGCACTGTAATATCAACTTTCGGTGTTTTTACATTGATATCGGCCTTGGGAAGGTGTATGTCAGCATCTGGACCCTCAACCTTTGGACCTTTCAAACCAAAAGATGGCATTTTAATACTGGGCATATTAAGTGCACTTTTGGGTCCTTGAATGTCAATCTCTGGACCTTGGATATCCATCTTGGGGCCTTTGATGTCTCCCTCAACCTTTGGAGCTGAGACATCTCCCTTAACTTTGGGGCCTTTCAAATTAATGTCGAAGTCTGGTAGACTGGGTCCTGAAAGTGATGGAAGGTTGAACTTTGGCCCTTTCAATTTTACATCAGGACCTTCAAGGTCTGGTCCACTAATATCAACTCCCGGTGCTTTCACTCTTCCTTCAATCTTTGGAACATCCACCTCACCTTCAACTTTGGGGCCTTTCAGATTGAAATCCACATCAGGCATGGAGATTTTGGGCCCGGAAATACCTGGCATCTTGAATTTTGGTCCTTTGATCTTTCCACTTGGACCCTCGACATCAATGTCCGCTCCTTTAATGTCAACTTCCGGGGCTTTGATGTCAATATCCCCTTTAGGAAGGCTGACATCAACATCTGGACCTTCAGCTTTTGGGCCCTTCATACCAAAGCCTGGCATTTTGAATTTGGGCATTTTAAGTCCTCCCTTGTGGCCCTCAATGTCAATATCTGGTCCCTCAATGTTCACCTTGGGTGCCTTTATGTCTCCCTCAATCTTTGGAGCGGACACGTCAACATCTCCCTTCAGTTTTGGGCCTTTCAAATTAATGTCAAAGTCTGGTAGGTTGGGTCCTGACAGTGATGGAAGTTTGAATTTGGGCCCTTTCAGTTTTCCATCAGGCCCTTCGACTTCTGGTCCACTAATATCAACTTCAGGTCCTTTCACATTGAAATCAGCTTTGGGAAGGTTTATGTCAACATCTGGACCCTCCACCTTTGGACCTTTAAAGCCAAATGTTGGCATTTTAATGTGGGGCATTTCAAATCCACCTTTTGGACCTTCAATGTCAACTTTCGGTCCCTCAAAGTCGACTCCCGGTCCTTTCACTTTTCCTTCAATCTTTGGAATATCCACCTCACCTTCAACTTTGGGGCCTTTCAGATTGAAATCCATATCTGGCATGGACATTTTGGGCCCAGATATACTTGGCATCTTGAATTTTGGTCCTTTGATCTTTCCACTCGGACCCTCGACATCAATGTCCGCTCCTTTAATGTCAACTTCCGGGGCTTTGATGTCAATATCCCCTTTAGGAAGGCTGACATCAACATCTGGACCTTCAACTTTTGGACCCTTTATACCAAAGGATGGCATTTTGAATTTGGGCATTTTAAGTCCTCCTTTGTGGCCCTCAATGTCAACATCTGGTCCCTCAATGTCCACCTTGGGTGCCTTTATGTCTCCCTCAATCTTTGGAACGGACACATCAACATCTCCCTTGAGTTTGGGCCCTTTCAAATTAATGTCAAAGTCTGGTAGGCTGGGTCCTGACAGTGATGGCAGTTTGAATTTGGGTCCTTTTAGTTTGGCATCAGGGCCTTCGATTTCTGGTCCACTAATATCAACTTCAGGTCCTTTCACATTGAAATCAGCTTTGGGAAGGTTTACGTCAACATCTGGACCCTCCACCTTTGGACCTTTAAAGCCAAATGTTGGCATTTTAATTTTTGGCATTTCAAATCCACCTTTTGGACCTTCAATTTCAACTTTCGGTCCCTCAAAGTCGACTCCTGGTGCTTTCACTTTTCCTTCAATCTTTGGAATATCCACCTCACCTTCAATTTTGGGGCCTTTCAGATTGAAATCCATATCCGGCATGGAGATTTTGGGCCCGGATAAACTTGGCATCTTGAATTTTGGTCCTTTGATTTTTCCACTCGGACCCTCCACATCAATATCGACTCCTTTAAAGTCAACTTCCGGGGCTTTGATGTCAATATCCCCTTTAGGAAGGCTGACATCAACATCTGGACCTTCAACTTTTGGGCCCTTCATACCAAAGCCTGGCATTTTGAATTTGGGCATTTTAAGTCCTCCCTTGTGGCCCTCAATGTCAACATCTGGTCCCTCAATGTCCACCTTGGGTGCCTTTATGTCTCCCTCAATCTTTGGAACGGACACATCAACATCTCCCTTGAGTTTGGGCCCTTTCAAATTAATGTCAAAGTCTGGTAGGCTGGGTCCTGACAGTGATGGCAGTTTGAACTTGGGTCCTTTGAGTTTGGCATCAGGGCCTTCGATTTCTGGTCCACTAATATCAACTTCAGGTCCTTTCACATTGAAATCAGCTTTGGGAAGGTTTATGTCAACATCTGGACCCTCCACCTTTGGACCTTTAAAGCCAAATGTTGGCATTTTAATTTTGGGCATTTCAAATCCACCTTTTGGACCTTCGATGTCAACTTTTGGTCCCTCAATGTCAACTCCCGGTGCTTTCACTTTTCCTTCAATCTTTGGAACATCTAAATCACCTTCAACTTTGGGGCCTTTCAGATTGAAATCGACATCAGGCATTGAAATTTTGGGCCCGGATAAACTTGGCATCTTGAATTTTGGTCCTTTGATCTTTCCACTCGGACCCTCGACATCAATGTCAGCTCCTTTAATGTCAACGTCGGGTGCTTTGATGTCAATATCCCCTTTAGGAAGGCTGACATCAACATCTGGACCTTCAACTTTTGGACCCTTCATACCAAAGCCTGGCATTTTGAATTTGGGCATTTTAAGTCCTCCTTTGTGGCCCTCAATGTCAATATTTGGTCCTTCAATGTCCACCTTGGGTGCTTTTATGTCTCCCTCAATCTTTGGAGCAGACACATCAACGTCTCCTTTGAGTTTGGGCCCTTTCAAATTAATGTCAAAATCTGGTAGGCTGGGTCCTGACAGTGATGGCAGTTTGAACTTGGGCCCTTTCAGTTTTCCATCAGGCCCTTCAACTTCTAGTCCACTAATATCAACTTCAGGTGCTTTGATATTGACATCAGCTTTGGGAAGGTTTATGTCAACATCTGGACCCTCCACCTTTGGACCTTTAAAGCCAAAAGATGGCATCTTAATATGTGGCATTTCAAATCCACCTTTTGGACCTTCAATATCAACCTGGGGACCTTTGATGTCAAGTTCAGGTGTTTTGAACTTTCCTTCAATCTTTGGAACATCTAAATCACCTTCAACTTTGGGGCCTTTCAGATTGAAATCCACATCAGGCATTGAGATTTTGGGCCCAGATATACCTGGCATCTTGAATTTTGGTCCTTTGATCTTTCCACTCGGACCCTCCACATCAATGTCTGCTCCTTTAATGTCAACGTCGGGGGCTTTGATGTCAATATCCCCTTTAGGAAGGCTGACATCAACATCTGGACCTTCAACTTTTGGACCCTTCATACCAAAGCCTGGCATTTTGAATTTGGGCATTTTAAGTCCTCCTTTATGGCCCTCAATGTCAACATCTGGTCCCTCAATGTCCACCTTGGGTGCCTTTATGTCTCCCTCAATCTTTGGAACCGACACATCAACATCTCCCTTAATTTTGGGCCCTTTCAAGTTAATGTCAAAGTCTGGTAGGCTGGGTCCTGATAATGATGGCAGTTTGAATTTGTGACCTTTGAGTTTTGCATCAGGCCCTTCAACTTCTGGTCCACTAATATCAACTTCAGGTCCTTTCACATTGGCATCAGCTTTGGGAAGATTTATGTCAACATCTGGACCCTCCACCTTTGGACCCTTGAAACCAAATGTTGGCATTTTAATTTTGGGCATTTCAAATCCACCTTTGGGGCCCTTAGCATCAAACTCTGGACCTTCGATATCTACTTCCGGTACCTTTATTTCTCCTTGCATTTTTGGAATTTTGATGTCACCTTCAAGTTTAGGACTTTTCAAGTTAAAATCCACATCCGGCATGGAGATTTTTGGCCCGGATATACCTGGCATCTTGAATTTTGGTCCTTTGATCTTTCCACTCGGACCCTCCACATCAATGTCTGCTCCTTTAATGTCAACTTCCGGGGCTTTAATGTCAATATCCCCTTTAGGAAGGCTGACATCAACATCTGGACCTTCAACTTTTGGACCCTTCATACCAAAGCCTGGCATTTTGAATTTGGGCATTTTAAGTCCTCCCTTGTGGCCCTCAATGTCAATATCTGGTCCTTCGATGTCCACCTTGGGTGCCTTTATGTCTCCCTCAATCTTTGGAACGGACACATCAACATCTCCCTTGAGTTTGGGCCCTTTCAAATTAATGTCAAAGTCGGGTAGGCTGGGTCCTGACAGTGATGGCAGTTTGAACTTGGGTCCTTTGAGTTTTCCATCAGGGCCTTCAACTTCTGGTAGACTAATATCAATTTCAGGTGCTTTGACATTGACATCAGCTTTGGGAAGGTTTATGTCAACATCTGGACCCTCAACCTTTGGACCTTTGAAACCAAATGTTGGCATTTTAATTTTGGGCATATCCAGTCCACCTTTTGGGCCTTCCAAGTCAATCTCTGAGCCTTTTATATCCACCTTAGGTACCTTTATTTTTCCTTCAGCCTTTGGTATATCAACATCACCTTCAAATTTAGGACCTTTTAGTTTGAAATCTACGTCTGGCATGGAAATCTTTGGTCCTGAGATATTTGGCATCTTGAATTTTGATCCTTTGATCTTCCCACTTGGACCCTCAACGTCAATATCAGGTGCTTCTATTTTCACTTCCGGTGTCTCTATTTCAGTCTTAGGTGTTGAAACATTTATATCAGCATCTGGACCTTCAACTTTTGGACTTTTAAATCCAAATTTTGGCATTTTGAATTTAGATCCTTTGGCTTTTGGTGTAGACAGTTCCAAATCAAGGTCAACACCCTCAAGGCTGCCAGTTTTTCCTTTGAGGTTGATGTCGCCTTGTGGCAATTTCAACTCACTGTCTGGTGCATTTAGCTTTGGACCCTTGAAACCAAACCTTGGCAGTTTGAATTTCATTTTCTTTGAACCAGTTTCTGGAATATCAATTGAAGCATCTGGTCCCTCAATTTCAGGTTTTGATAGTTGAAAATCCCCCTTCATATCTCCTTTCAACTTTGGTCCCTTTAAATTGATGTCAACATCTGGCAGGGACATTTTGGGTCCACTTATTGTTGGAAACTTTACCTTGGGCCCTGAAAATTTTCCCTGTGGAGAGCCAATGTCCATCTTGGGACCGTGGACATCTACTTCAGGGATTTTAATATCGCCTTCAATCTTTGGAGCTGACACATCAACATCTCCCTTGAGTTTGGGCCCTTTCAAATTAATGTCAAAGTCGGGTAGGCTGGGTCCTGACAGTGATGGCAGTTTGAACTTGGGTCCTTTGAGTTTGGCATCAGGGCCTTCAACGTCTGGTCCACTAATATCAACTTCAGGTGCTTTGACATTGAAATCAGCTTTGGGAAGGTTTATGTCAACATCTGGACCCTCCACCTTTGGACCTTTAAAGCCAAATGTTGGCATTTTAATTTTGGGCATTTCAAATCCACCTTTTGGACCTTCGATGTCAACCTTTGGTCCCTCAATGTCGACTCCCGGTGCTTTCACTTTTCCTTCAATCTTTGGAACATCCACCTCACCTTCAACTTTGGGGCCTTTCAGATTGAAATCCACATCAGGCATTGAAATTTTAGGCCCAGATATTCCTGGCATCTTGAATTTTGGTCCTTTAATCTTTCCACTCGGACCCTCGACATCAATGTCCACTCCTTTAATGTCAACTTCCGGGGCTTTGATGTCAATATCCCCTTTAGGAAGGCTGACATCAACATCTGGACCTTCAACCTTTGGACCTTTCATACCAAAGCCTGGCATTTTGAATTTGGGCATTTTAAGCCCTCCTTTGTGGCCCTCAATGTCAACATCTGGTCCCTCAATGTCCACCTTGGGTGCCTTTATATCTCCCTCAATCTTTGGAACTGACACATCAACATCTCCCTTGAGTTTGGGCCCTTTCAAATTAATGTCAAAGTCTGGTAGGCTGGGTCCTGACAGTGATGGCAGTTTAAATTTGGGTCCTTTGAGTTTGGCATCAGGGCCTTCGATTTCTGGTCCACTAATATCAACTTCAGGTCCTTTCACATTGAAATCAGCTTTGGGAAGGTTTATGTCAACATCTGGACCCTCCACCTTTGGACCTTTAAAGCCAAATGTTGGCATTTTAATTTTGGGCATTTCAAATCCACCTTTTGGACCTTCGATGTCAACTTTCGGTCCCTCAATGTCAACTCCTGGTGCTTTCACTTTTCCTTCAATCTTTGGAATATCCACCTCACCTTCAACTTTGGGGCCTTTCAGACTGAAATCCACATCAGGCATTGAAATTTTGGGCCCGGATAAACTTGGCATCTTGAATTTTGGTCCTTTGATCTTTCCACTCGGACCCTCGACATCAATGTCTGCTCCTTTAATGTCAACTTCGGGTGCTTTGATGTCAATATTCCCTTTAGGAAGGCTGACATCAACATCTGGACCTTCAACTTTTGGACCCTTCATGCCAAAGCCTGGCATTTTGAATTTGGGCATTTTAAGTCCTCCTTTGTGGCCCTCAATGTCAACATCTGGTCCCTCGATGTCCACCTTGGGTGCCTTTATATCTCCCTCAATCTTTGGAACGGACACATCAACATCTCCCTTGAGTTTGGGCCCTTTAAAATTAATGTCAAAGTCTGGTAGGCTGGGTCCTGACAGTGATGGCAGTTTAAATTTGGGTCCTTTGAGTTTGGCATCAGGGCCTTCGATTTCTGGTCCACTAATATCAACTTCAGGTCCTTTCACATTGAAATCAGCTTTGGGAAGGTTTATGTCAACATCTGGACCCTCCACCTTTGGACCTTTAAAGCCAAATGTTGGCATTTTAATTTTTGGCATTTCAAATCCACCTTTTGGACCTTCGATGTCAACTTTTGGTCCCTCAATGTCAACTCCTGGTGCTTTCACTTTTCCTTCAATCTTTGGAACATCTAAATCACCTTCAACTTTGGGGCCTTTCAGATTGAAATCCACATCAGGCATTGAAATTTTGGGCCCAGATATCCCTGGCATCTTGAATTTTGGTCCTTTGATCTTTCCACTCGGACCCTCGACTTCAATGTCAGCTCCTTTAATGTCAACTTCGGGGGCTTTGATGTCAATATTCCCTTTAGGAAGGCTGACATCAACATCTGGACCTTCAACTTTTGGACCCTTCATACCAAAGCCTGGCATTTTGAATTTGGGCATTTTAAGTCCTCCTTTGTGGCCCTCAATGTCAAAATCTGGTCCCTCGATGTCCACCTTGGGTGCCTTTATATCTCCCTCAATCTTTGGAACGGACACATCAACATCTCCCTTGAGTTTTGGGCCTTTCAAATTAATGTCAAAGTCGGGTAGGCTGGGTCCTGACAGTGATGGCAGTTTGAACTTGGGTCCTTTGAGTTTGGCATCAGGGCCTTCGACTTCTGGTCCACTAATATCAACTTCAGGTGCTTTGACATTGAAATCAGCTTTGGGAAGGTTTATGTCAACATCTGGACCCTCCACCTTTGGACCTTTAAAGCCAAATGTTGGCATTTTAATTTTGGGCATTTCAAATCCACCTTTTGGACCTTCGATGTCAACTTTCGGTCCCTCAATGTCAACTCCTGGTGCTTTCACTTTTCCTTCAATCTTTGGAATATCCACCTCACCTTCAACTTTGGGGCCTTTCAGATTGAAATCCACATCAGGCATTGAAATTTTGGGCCCAGATAAACTTGGCATCTTGAATTTTGGTCCTTTAATCTTTCCACTCGGACCCTCCACATCAATGTCAGCTCCTTTAATGTCAACTTCGGGGGCTTTGATGTCAATATTCCCTTTAGGAAGGCTGACATCAACATCTGGACCTTCAACTTTTGGACCCTTCATGCCAAAGCCTGGCATTTTGAATTTGGGCATTTTAAGTCCTCCTTTGTGGCCCTCAATGTCAACATCTGGTCCCTCGATGTCCACCTTGGGTGCCTTTATATCACCCTCAATCTTTGGAACGGACACATCAACATCTCCCTTGAGTTTGGGCCCTTTCAAATTAATGTCAAAGTCTGGTAGGCTGGGTCCTGACAGTGATGGCAGTTTAAATTTGGGTCCTTTGAGTTTGGCATCAGGGCCTTCGATTTCTGGTCCACTAATATCAACTTCAGGTCCTTTCACATTGAAATCAGCTTTGGGAAGGTTTATGTCAACATCTGGACCCTCCACCTTTGGACCTTTAAAACCAAATGTTGGCATTTTAATTTTGGGCATTTCAAATCCACCTTTTGGACCTTCGATGTCAACTTTTGGTCCCTCAATGTCAACTCCTGGTGCTTTCACTTTTCCTTCAATCTTTGGAACATCTAAATCACCTTCAACTTTGGGGCCTTTCAGATTGAAATCGACATCAGGCATTGAAATTTTGGGCCCGGATAAACTTGGCATCTTGAATTTTGGTCCTTTGATCTTTCCACTCGGACCCTCGACTTCAATGTCAGCTCCTTTAATGTCAACTTCGGGGGCTTTGATGTCAATATTCCCTTTAGGAAGGCTGACATCAACATCTGGACCTTCAACTTTTGGACCCTTCATACCAAAGCCTGGCATTTTGAATTTGGGCATTTTAAGTCCTCCTTTGTGGCCCTCAATGTCAAAATCTGGTCCCTCGATGTCCACCTTGGGTGCCTTTATATCTCCCTCAATCTTTGGAACGGACACATCAACATCTCCCTTGAGTTTGGGCCCTTTCAAATTAATGTCAAAGTCTGGTAGGCTGGGTCCTGACAGTGATGGCAGTTTAAATTTGGGTCCTTTGAGTTTGGCATCAGGGCCTTCGATTTCTGGTCCACTAATATCAACTTCAGGTCCTTTCACATTGAAATCAGCTTTGGGAAGGTTTATGTCAACATCTGGACCCTCCACCTTTGGACCTTTAAAACCAAATGTTGGCATTTTAATTTTGGGCATTTCAAATCCACCTTTTGGACCTTCGATGTCAACTTTCGGTCCCTCAATGTCAACTCCTGGTGATTTCACTTTTCCTTCAATCTTTGGAATATCCACCTCACCTTCAACTTTGGGGCCTTTCAGATTGAAATCCACATCAGGCATTGAAATTTTGGGCCCGGATAAACTTGGCATCTTGAATTTTGGTCCTTTGATTTTTCCACTCGGACCCTCGACATCAATATCTGCTCCTTTAATGTCAACTTCGGGTGCTTTGATGTCAATATTCCCTTTAGGAAGGCTGACATCAACATCTGGACCTTCAACTTTTGGACCCTTCATGCCAAAGCCTGGCATTTTGAATTTGGGCATTTTAAGTCCTCCTTTATGGCCCTCAATGTCAACATCTGGTCCCTCAATGTCCACCTTGGGTGCCTTTATATCACCCTCAATCTTTGGAACGGACACATCAACATCTCCCTTGAGTTTGGGCCCTTTCAAATTAATGTCAAAGTCTGGTAGGCTGGGTCCTGACAGTGATGGCAGTTTAAATTTGGGTCCTTTGAGTTTGGCATCAGGGCCTTCGATTTCTGGTCCACTAATATCAACTTCAGGTCCTTTCACATTGAAATCAGCTTTGGGAAGGTTTATGTCAACATCTGGACCCTCCACCTTTGGACCTTTAAAACCAAATGTTGGCATTTTAATTTTGGGCATTTCAAATCCACCTTTTGGACCTTCGATGTCAACTTTTGGTCCCTCAATGTCAACTCCTGGTGCTTTCACTTTTCCTTCAATCTTTGGAACATCTAAATCACCTTCAACTTTGGGGCCTTTCAGATTGAAATCGACATCAGGCATTGAAATTTTGGGCCCGGATAAACTTGGCATCTTGAATTTTGGTCCTTTGATCTTTCCACTCGGACCCTCGACTTCAATGTCAGCTCCTTTAATGTCAACTTCGGGGGCTTTGATGTCAATATTCCCTTTAGGAAGGCTGACATCAACATCTGGACCTTCAACTTTTGGACCCTTCATACCAAAGCCTGGCATTTTGAATTTGGGCATTTTAAGTCCTCCTTTGTGGCCCTCAATGTCAAAATCTGGTCCCTCGATGTCCACCTTGGGTGCCTTTATATCTCCCTCAATCTTTGGAACGGACACATCAACATCTCCCTTGAGTTTGGGCCCTTTCAAATTAATGTCAAAGTCTGGTAGGCTGGGTCCTGACAGTGATGGCAGTTTAAATTTGGGTCCTTTGAGTTTGGCATCAGGGCCTTCGATTTCTGGTCCACTAATATCAACTTCAGGTCCTTTCACATTGAAATCAGCTTTGGGAAGGTTTATGTCAACATCTGGACCCTCCACCTTTGGACCTTTAAAACCAAATGTTGGCATTTTAATTTTGGGCATTTCAAATCCACCTTTTGGACCTTCGATGTCAACTTTTGGTCCCTCAATGTCAACTCCTGGTGATTTCACTTTTCCTTCAATCTTTGGAACATCTAAATCACCTTCAACTTTGGGGCCTTTCAGATTGAAATCGACATCAGGCATTGAAATTTTGGGCCCGGATAAACTTGGCATCTTGAATTTTGGTCCTTTGATCTTTCCACTCGGACCCTCCACATCAATGTCAGCTCCTTTAATGTCAACTTCGGGGGCTTTGATGTCAATATTCCCTTTAGGAAGGCTGACATCAACATCTGGACCTTCAACTTTTGGACCCTTCATACCAAAGCCTGGCATTTTGAATTTGGGCATTTTAAGTCCTCCTTTGTGGCCCTCAATGTCAAAATCTGGTCCCTCGATGTCCACCTTGGGTGCCTTTATATCTCCCTCAATCTTTGGAACGGACACATCAACATCTCCCTTGAGTTTTGGGCCTTTCAAATTAATGTCAAAGTCTGGTAGGCTGGGTCCTGACAGTGATGGCAGTTTGAACTTGGGTCCTTTGAGTTTGGCATCAGGGCCTTCGACTTCTGGTCCACTAATATCAACTTCAGGTCCTTTGACATTGACATCAGCTTTGGGAAGGTTTATGTCAACATCTGGACCCTCCACCTTTGGACCTTTAAAACCAAATGTTGGCATTTTAATTTTTGGCATTTCAAATCCACCTTTTGGACCTTCGATGTCAACCTTTGGTCCCTCAATGTCAACTCCCGGTGCTTTCACTTTTCCTTCAATCTTTGGAATATCTAAATCACCTTCAACTTTGGGGCCTTTCAGATTGAAATCGACATCAGGCATTGAAATTTTGGGCCCGGATAAACTTGGCATCTTGAATTTTGGTCCTTTGATTTTTCCACTCGGACCCTCGACATCAATATCTGCTCCTTTAACGTCAACTTCGGGTGCTTTGATGTCAATATCCCCCTTAGGAAGGCTGACATCAACATCTGGACCTTCAACTTTTGGACCCTTCATACCAAAGGATGGCATTTTGAATTTGGGCATTTTAAGTCCTCCTTTATGGCCCTCAATGTCAACATCTGGTCCCTCAATGTCCACCTTGGGTGCCTTTATATCTCCCTCAATCTTTGGAACGGACACATCAACATCTCCCTTCAGTTTGGGCCCTTTCAAATTAATGTCAAAGTCTGGTAGGCTGGGTCCTGACAGTGATGGCAGTTTGAACTTGGGTCCTTTTAGTTTGGCATCAGCGCCTTCGATTTCTGGTCCACTAATATCAACTCCAGGTCCTTTGACATTGAAATCAGCTTTGGGAAGGTTTATGTCAACATCTGGACCCTCCACCTTTGGACCTTTAAAGCCAAAGGTTGGCATTTTAATTTTGGGCATTTCAAATCCACCTTTTGGACCTTCAATGTCAACCTTTGGTCCCTCAATGTCGACTCCCGGTGCTTTCATTTTTCCTTCAATCTTTGGAATATCCACCTCACCTTCAACTTTGGGGCCTTTCAGATTGAAATCCACATCAGGCATTGAAATTTTGGGCCCGGATAAACTTGGCATCTTGAATTTTGGTCCTTTGATCTTTCCACTCGGACCCTCGACATCAATGTCTGCTCCTTTAATGTCAACGTCGGGTGCTTTGATGTCAATATCCCCTTTAGGAAGGCTGACATCAACATCTGGACCTTCAACTTTTGGACCCTTCATACCAAAGGATGGCATTTTGAATTTGGGCATTTTAAGTCCTCCTTTGTGGCCCTCAATGTCAACATCTGGGCCCTCAACGTCCACCTTGGGTGCCTTTATGTCTCCCTCAATCTTTGGAGCGGACACATCAACATCTCCCTTGAGTTTGGGCCCTTTCAAATTAATGTCAAAATCTGGTAGGCTGGGTCCTGACAGTGATGGCAGTTTGAACTTGGGTCCTTTTAGTTTGGCATCAGGGCCTTCGATTTCTGGTCCTTTAATATCAACTTCAGGTCCTTTCACATTGAAATCAGCTTTGGGAAGGTTTATGTCAACATCTGGACCCTCCACCTTTGGACCTTTAAAACCAAATGTTGGCATTTTAATTTTTGGCATTTCAAATCCACCTTTTGGACCTTCGATGTCAACCTTTGGTCCCTCAATGTCAACTCCCGGTGCTTTCACTTTTCCTTCAATCTTTGGAATATCCACCTCACCTTCAACTTTGGGGCCTTTCAGATTGAAATCCACATCAGGCATTGAAATTTTGGGCCCGGATAAACTTGGCATCTTGAATTTTGGTCCTTTGATCTTTCCACTCGGACCCTCGACATCAATGTCAGCTCCTTTAATGTCAACGTCGGGTGCTTTGATGTCAATATCCCCTTTAGGAAGGCTGACATCAACATCTGGACCTTCAACTTTTGGACCCTTCATACCAAAGCCTGGCATTTTGAATTTGGGCATTTTAAGTCCTCCTTTGTGGCCCTCAATGTCAACATCTGGTCCTTCAATGTCCACCTTGGGTGCCTTTATGTCTCCCTCAATCTTTGGAACGGACACATCAACATCTCCCTTGAGTTTGGGCCCTTTCAAATTAATGTCAAAGTCTGGTAGGCTGGGTCCTGACAGTGATGGCAGTTTGAACTTGGGTCCTTTGAGTTTTGCATCAGGGCCTTCTATTTCTGGTCCACTAATATCAATTTCAGGTGCTTTGATATTGACATCAGCTTTGGGAAGGTTTATGTCAACATCTGGACCCTCCACCTTTGGACCTTTAAAGCCAAATGTTGGCATTTTAATTTTGGGCATTTCAAATCCACCTTTTGGACCTTCGATGTCAACTTTTGGGCCCTCAATGTCAACTCCCGGTGCTTTTACTTTTCCTTCAATCTTTGGAATATCCACCTCACCTTCAACTTTGGGGCCTTTCAGATTGAAATCTACATCAGGCATTGAAATTTTGGGCCCGGATAAACTTGGCATCTTGAATTTTGATCCTTTGATCTTTCCACTCGGACCCTCGACATCAATGTCTGCTCCTTTAATGTCAACTTCGGGTGCTTTGATGTCAATATCCCCTTTAGGAAGGCTGACATCAACATCTGGACCTTCAACTTTTGGACCCTTCATACCAAAGCCTGGCATTTTGAATTTGGGCATTTTAAGTCCTCCTTTGTGGCCCTCAATGTCAACATCTGGGCCCTCAACGTCCACCTTGGGTGCTTTTATGTCTCCCTCAATCTTTGGAACGGACACATCAACATCTCCCTTGAGTTTGGGCCCTTTCAAATTAATGTCAAAATCTGGTAGGCTGGGTCCTGACAGTGATGGCAGTTTGAATTTGGGTCCTTTTAGTTTTCCATCAGGGCCTTCTATTTCTGGTCCACTAATATCAATTTCAGGTCCTTTGACATTGACATCAGCTTTGGGAAGGTTTATGTCAACATCTGGACCCTCCACCTTTGGACCTTTAAGGCCAAATGTTGGCATTTTTATTTTGGGCATTTCAAATCCACCTTTTGGACCTTCGATGTCAACTTTTGGTCCCTCAATGTCGACTCCTGGTGCTTTCACTTTTCCTTCAATCTTTGGAACATCCACCTCACCTTCAACTTTGGGGCCTTTCAGATTGAAATCCACATCAGGCATTGAAATTTTAGGCCCAGATATTCCTGGCATCTTGAATTTTGGTCCTTTGATCTTTCCACTCGGACCCTCGACATCAATGTCAGCTCCTTTAATGTCAACGCCGGGTGCTTTGATGTCAATATCCCCTTTAGGAAGGCTGACATCAACATCTGGACCTTCAACTTTTGGACCCTTCATACCAAAGCCTGGCATTTTGAATTTGGGCATTTTAAGTCCTCCTTTGTGGCCCTCAATGTCAACATCTGGTCCCTCAATGTCCACCTTGGGTGCCTTTATGTCTCCCTCAATCTTTGGAGCGGACACATCAACATCTCCCTTGAGTTTGGGCCCTTTCAAATTAATGTCAAAATCTGGTAGGCTGGGTCCTGACAGTGATGGCAGTTTGAATTTGGGTCCTTTGAGTTTGGCATCAGGGCCTTCTATTTCTGGTCCACTAATATCAACTTCAGGTCCTTTCACATTGACATCAGCTTTGGGAAGGTTTATGTCAACATCTGGACCCTCCACCTTTGGACCTTTAAGGCCAAATGTTGGCATTTTAATTTTGGGCATTTCAAATCCACCTTTTGGACCTTCAATATCAACTTTTGGTCCCCCAATGTCGACTCCTGGTGCTTTCACTTTTCCTTCAATCTTTGGAACATCCACCTCACCTTCAACTTTGGGGCCTTTCAGATTGAAATCCACATCAGGCATTGAAATTTTAGGCCCAGATATCCCTGGCATCTTGAATTTTGGTCCTTTGATCTTTCCACTCGGACCCTCGACATCAATGTCCACTCCTTTAATGTCAACTTCAGGGGCTTTGATGTCAATATCCCCTTTAGGAAGGCTGACATCAACATCTGGACCTTCAACTTTTGGACCCTTCATACCAAAGCCTGGCATTTTGAATTTGGGCATTTTAAGTCCTCCTTTGTGGCCCTCAATGTCAACATCTGGTCCCTCAATGTCCACCTTGGGTGCCTTTATGTCTCCCTCAATCTTTGGAACGGACACATCAACATCTCCCTTGAGTTTGGGCCCTTTCAAATTAATGTCAAAATCTGGTAGGCTGGGTCCTGACAGTGATGGCAGTTTGAATTTGGGTCCTTTTAGTTTTCCATCAGGGCCTTCTATTTCTGGTCCACTAATATCAATTTCAGGTCCTTTGACATTGACATCAGCTTTGGGAAGGTTTATGTCAACATCTGGACCCTCCACCTTTGGACCTTTAAGGCCAAATGTTGGCATTTTTATTTTGGGCATTTCAAATCCACCTTTTGGACCTTCGATGTCAACTTTTGGTCCCTCAATGTCGACTCCTGGTGCTTTCACTTTTCCTTCAATCTTTGGAACATCCACCTCACCTTCAACTTTGGGGCCTTTCAGATTGAAATCCACATCAGGCATTGAAATTTTAGGCCCAGATATTCCTGGCATCTTGAATTTTGGTCCTTTGATCTTTCCACTCGGACCCTCGACATCAATGTCAGCTCCTTTAATGTCAACGCCGGGTGCTTTGATGTCAATATCCCCTTTAGGAAGGCTGACATCAACATCTGGACCTTCAACTTTTGGACCCTTCATGCCAAAGCCTGGCATTTTGAATTTGGGCATTTTAAGTCCTCCTTTGTGGCCCTCAATGTCAACATCTGGTCCCTCAATGTCCACCTTGGGTGCCTTTATGTCCCCCTCAATCTTTGGAGCGGACACATCAACATCTCCCTTGAGTTTGGGCCCTTTCAAATTAATGTCAAAATCTGGTAGGCTGGGTCCTGACAGTGATGGCAGTTTGAATTTGGGTCCTTTTAGTTTGGCATCAGGGCCTTCGATTTCTGGTCCTTTAATATCAACTTCAGGTCCTTTCACATTGAAATCAGCTTTGGGAAGGTTTATGTCAACATCTGGACCCTCCACCTTTGGACCTTTAAAGCCAAATGTTGGCATTTTAATTTTGGGCATTTCAAATCCACCTTTTGGACCCTCGATGTCAACTTTTGGTCCCTCAATGTCAACTCCCGGTGCTTTCACTTTTCCTTCAATCTTTGGAACATCCACCTCACCTTCAACTTTGGGGCCTTTCAGATTGAAATCCACATCAGGCATGGAGATTTTGGGCCCGGAAATACCTGGCATCTTGAATTTTGGTCCTTTGATCTTTCCACTCGGACCCTCGACATCAATGTCTCCTCCTTTAATGTCAACGTCGGGTGCATTGATTTCAATATCACCTTTAGGAAGGCTGACATCAACATCTGGACCTTCAACTTTTGGACCCTTCATACCAAAGCCTGGCATTTTGAATTTGGGCATTTTAAGTCCTCCTTTGTGGCCCTCAATGTCAACATCTGGTCCCTCAATGTCCACCTTGGGTGCCTTTATGTCTCTCTCAATCTTTGGAGCGGACACATCAACATCTCCCTTGAGTTTTGGGCCTTTCAAATTAATGTCAAAATCTGGTAGGCTGGGTCCTGACAGTGATGGCAGTTTGAATTTGGGTCCTTTGAGTTTGGCATCAGGGCCTTCTATTTCTGGTCCTCTAATATCAACTTCAGGTGCTTTGATATTGACATCAGCTTTGGGAAGGTTTATGTCAACATCTGGACCCTCCACCTTTGGACCTTTAAAGCCAAATGTTGGCATTTTTATTTTGGGCATTTCAAATCCACCTTTTGGACCTTCGATGTCAACTTTCGGTCCCTCAATGTCAACTCCCGGTGCTTTCACTTTTCCTTCAATCTTTGGAATATCCACCTCACCTTCAACTTTGGGGCCTTTCAGATTGAAATCCACATCAGGCATGGAAACTTTGGGCCCGGATATACCTGACATCTTGAATTGTGGTCCTTTGATCTTTCCACTCGGACCCTCAACATCAATGTCCGCTCCTTTAATATCAATGTTGGGTGCTTTGATTTCAATATCACCTTTAGGAAGGCTGACATCAACATCTGGACCTTCAACCTTTGGACCTTTCACACCAAAGGATGACATTTCAACTTTGGGCATTTTAAGTCCTCCTTTATGGCCCTCAATATTAACATATCTTCCTTCAATGTCCACTTTTGGAGCTTGTAGGTCTCCCTCAATCTTTGGAGCTGATACAGTAACATCTCCCTTGAGTTTTGGCCCTTTTACAGTGTTGTTGAACTCCTCCAATTTGGGTCCCCGTGATGATGATACATCGACTTCAGGTGCTTTAACATTAATTTCAGTCTTGGAAAGGTTAATATTCACATCCTGACCTTCAGGCTTTGGACCTTTTATGCAAAGAGATGGCATTTTAATATTGGACATAATAAGTCCACTGGTTTGGCCTTCACTGTCAATTTCTTTTCCTTCAATCTTCATTTTTGGAGTTTTTATATCCCTCTCAAGGTTTGGTACATCAACATTTCCCTTCATTTTGGGACCTTTCACACTCATGTCCAAATCTTTCAGTTTAGTTCCCGACAATGATGGTAGTTCTATTTTTGATCCTTTGAGATTCACATCAAGGTCTTCTGTGTCCACTTGCGGTCCTGTAATATCAAAATCAGGTGCTTTAACATCAATACCAGTCCTGGGAAGGTTTATCTCTAGACCTTTGACATCAATCTCGTGTGTTTTTATCTCCCCTTTTATCCCTGCTTTATTTTCAACTTTAGGTATTTTGGTGTCAGTTTTGGATTTGGAAAGTTTTAGATCAACATCTAGACGCTCTGCTTTTGGAACTCCAAATTCTGCAGCAGGCACTGTGACATTTACTTGTGTTCTTTTAATATCAACACTGGGTCCTTTAATTTTTACATCCTTACTGTCAATAGAAGGTTTTATTGCTTTAATGTCAGCTTCAGGAATTTGTACATGAGCGTTTGTTCCCTCTTTCCTCTCAGTGTCTTTATTTGAACCTTTAATGTCAAATTTCAGTCCTGCTGTTTTTCTCTCACCAGTTAAATCACCTTTTCCCTCAACCTTGTTCAGCCCGGATATGGATGGAACATTAACATCCATTTTGTATTTGCTATCAGTTGTTGGGAGTTTGATTTGAATATTAGAGTTGATTTCAGCACTTCCGATGTCACTTTCAGACTCTGAATGTCTTACACTCAAAACTGACCCTTCAGTGTTGGCTCTGGGGCCCTTGATCTGAACACCGGCTCCTTTGATGTCCAGTTCAGATTTTTTTGAAGAAAGTCCCGAGGTAACATTATCTAATGTTATTGTTGATTTTTCTATCCTGCCATCTTTCAAATTTGCACCAGTATCTGTCGACCCTCCTATTGTGATATGTGGAATGTCAGTACTACCTGATCCTTTCGTCTGCAGGGGACTGATTGTAATTCCAGATATCTTAACTTTTGTCCTCTCATCTAAAGTACTGTCTGAACTTCCCATCTGTGTTTTCTCTGTGGTTGCAGTCAAAATTTTCATTCCTTTTCCTGGTAAAGACAGTCTACCCGACCCTCCGTTTTCGTCAGTTGAAATTATCCCAGCACCCCCTGACCCAGCTGTAACATGGCTGCCAGCAGTGTTTTTGTTGTCTCTTAGTGTCACAGTCATTTCTGAATCCTGAACACTTTCATCTCCTTGCTCACTACTCCCTCTTGAAGTTTCAGTGCCTTCATGGCATTTACTACCTGTTACTCCAAAGCTAGGAACCTTAAATCTAAGATCACTTCTTTCTTTTTCCTCTCCTATATGCGTTGTAGTTTGAACCCCACCATTGCCCCAGCGTGTCACAGTGGAAGTGATATTTGGCCCAGTGTAAGTTATGTCGCCTGACTCAAAAACACCTTCTTCTGCTCCCATTTTACCTGAAGGGCTGCCATGTGAGATTCTGATATGAGAAGATCCATCTCCAGATTCGTGCCTTAGCCCTTTGACGTCTGGGCTTGAAAGTTCAAGTTGCTCACTTATGCCACTTGGCATATCTACTGTGTAAGTAGTGATACGACGAGTGATGGTAGTAATTGTGCTGCCATCGCTGCTTGTGCTGCTGTGCCGCTCCGTGCGAACATCCACTCCCTCTGCAAGGTCTTCAGATTTCAGCCTTGGTTTTATCTTTCTTGTGTATATTCGCTTATAATCTTCATCATCCCCACTCTGTTGATTGAATGACACAAACATGCAAGTGTTACAGCACACCCTGTTTTAGTCCACTAGCTTTCCTGCAGACATATGAGTGATAATGTAGTTGGTTTTTCTTTCGTTTGTTTGGGGGGCTTTTTCCCCTTTTTTGTTTTTTAAAAAGAACTTACAAGAATGATATCTGGACTGGAATCTCCAAAGCGGGTCTTTCCTTCCCATGTAAGGGTGCTGACTGGTGAACGACATGGTGTGCTCAGCGGTGAGTAGTAAGGGGATTTGTCTCCTTTGTTTTGTAGTTTCAGTCCAACCTTGTGTTTGTTCAGTGTCTTTAGTAGCTCTGCTGTTTCTTCAGAACTCATATTTTCAAAGTAGATAGTGGCACCCACAATTTGGTCACCTATGATTTAAGTGGAAGCAGCACAAAAAAACAAAAGAGCAAAAGTCAGCGTGCACATCTTACTAAACATTTGGTGAAAGCTACATATTTGAACAAAAACTGAATTTGTTACCTTCATATACTTTTCCAGACCGTGCTGCTGGTGACTCTCCTTTCACCTCCTTAACAAAGAGCTGTCCTCCACTTGTCTGTTCAATGGTCATGCCAGTTTTGTCAGCACCTTCCCAATCTGGAAAGAGTACCTCCCTTGTCTCCTCTTCGTCAGCCATCTGTAAACATAGCCATAAAAATAGCAGGTTCAACAGAAAAAAATCATAGTTAGTTGGCAAAAACTCTTTACAGCATAAAATATGGAATACTAGTCTTAAACCTTAAATTCCTAAAATACCTTGTTTTTGTTTTCTTCAATTCAAGCCTCGTTGTAGCACAAATTCTCTTTGTTTTCCTGCAAAAACAAAAGACAGACTTTGAACAAATTCTATCCACATCCCACTTTGTAAGGAGCCTGGGTTAAAAGACCCAAAAGTGAACACTAGATGGTGTTAAAACTCCTTCAGACAATATAGCCTATCTAACTATAAGTGCCTTCCCTTCCCTCCAGGATGCACTACGTTTTGGAAACTTGGTTGAAGTCAGACCACTCCCTGCCCTGAGGAAACAGCCAAATCCCCTGCGTACAGATCAACTCAAACATCAATAGAAACAAAAGTGAGGGTCACAGGTACTTTATTTAAAGAAAAAAACCAAAAACACACCAAGGTGGAGAAATGTATGGTAACAAATACATCACCTAAAAGAGTTACTACTCTAATACAGATGTACAACCACAAACACTAATCTAATAGGAAAACAGTTGCACCCTTGTATAGGATCCCACATTAAGCTTGTAGTTCTGTTCAATAACAAGAGCTATGAATTCCTTTTCAGCAATTAACCATAGATTTGTTATTAATTTTTTTATCACTACAGCTGAAAGTTTTTACAAAGCTGATGACAATGATCTACCTCTTTACGCTGTAGTAGCACACATTAGGTTGGGTGAGGCCATCAGAGTACATAAGGTATACATTATACCTTCAAATAATTACCAAATTTACCATATTTATATCACTTTAAATTAGGCCAACTGAAATTCATGCTTAGCTTTTCAACAACTGTCACTATCGCTGTTTGCAATGTAAAAAGATCATCACATCAATGATAAAGTTTGTTGACAACATTACTAGACATGTGTCCACAAACATGCTGACTGGTAATACCCACTCTCCTTTTTGGAACACAGAACCTATTGTTTTGTTAGTACCAAGCTCTCCACCACCCACTCCTCGAAATATACAAAGCTGTTCCACGATGATGTGTCTCTACCAATAGAAAGGGATTTTTATGTTGTTGTTTGTTTTTTTTAAATTCGAGAGAATGTAATGTGATTGGTGACAACACTATTGGAAGTACTTTTTGATTAATGATGTTGCACCACAAGACAGTAGCAAAGCTCTAGTACCACAGTCATTTCAGTGAGACAATCACTACAAATGCCTACTGTAACCATTGAGGAGGATTTAACAAAGGTTCTATCGGCCAACAGAAAATGGCAAAAGCCTATTCATAGTTGTGATGAATGAAACAGGATATGAGTCACTTTGGTGATTAGTTTCCTGTGTTTATTGTGATTATGATTAAAAACAAAGATTTAAGGAATAATAACTTGGAAAAAAAATAAGACTGATAATCTTGTCTGACCTTACAAATATATGTATTTTAATGTTAATGTCAATGTGCTAGAAATAATAATATTAGCAGAAAAATTAATATAATTTTACACCACAGTCAAGAACACAGTTACCACACAGGCCACGAATCCCTTCCTCATTCACTGATACTGCCTCTCTGTTATGCAAGATAACAAGTTGCTGGAAACAAGAGGAACCTGAGACGAAGCTAAAGAAGCAACAGTTTTAAGAGGTTTTGTAATATGCATCACTTATTCAGCAGCCATATGCCACTCCTGCCATGCAGCTAAAATGCAGTGTTTCAAACAAATGAGATCGTTAGAAGAAAACAGTTCTGGTGTTTCCTGCAATGTCCAAATTAAGACTGCAGATCTAGGTGGTGCATACAGTTCTGTGTAATATGAACTATTGTCTCAGTTATTTGTAGTCTGTTGATGCCAGTCCTAGGTCACATAACAAGCCCTCTGCAAATTAACACAAGTCAATAAATAGACTGGATCTGCATGGTTGGGAATACTGAAGAAAGCATGCAATGCTTTGAGGTAAAATTAAAATTCTTTGAAAAAATAGCATTTAGCCACTGAGCATGATTATGCCGGAGAATAGGATAATGCTCATTCCAAAGGTGATTCCAGCCGCTTGCAGGTATATAAAACCTGATCTTCACTTTGTTGCTTCATCTGTCCTCCTCCCTTCTTTCTATCACATTGTGCTTTTCCACATGGCCTCATAGTACCTTGAAACACGAATCTATCAAGACCTCAAGCTGCAACATTATATGCATCAGTTATAGTTGAAATGTGTGAAAACTGAAGGGGTAAAAAAAAAACAGTACCAAAAAACACAGCTTTATTTAATTATCTTGGGTAGAGCAAATTCAAATCAGGCCAACTGATGCAGCCATTTACAAAATCTTTAAAGTGTCCTTCAGATCCCACACTCACAGCATTTGGGAGAAATCAAAGGGAATTTGTCTTCCCCATGGGCTCGAACACAGCTCATTTTGCCCGAATATATCCTGTCCTAATCCAGTCAATAAAAACAGACCCAAATAACTGACAAACCTTTCACATGATCTTGTTTTTCTCTTTTGCTAGTCTTATTGGCATTGTACAGATTACTGCTAGATGAGATAATTGTTCAGAAAAAATGTTCACAGGGGAAAAGCATAAGAAATATTATTGGGTTTATAAAAACAGGGTGGGAAGTTAAGAATGCATCCACATTCATACGCATAATCGTGGGACACAACTATCCCTTTATCCCTTCAAAGGTTTATTTTCAAGCATAATCATATAGTTTTGATAAATATTTTGATTTTGGCCTAGCACACAGGCTTACCATGTTTGAACTATTTGGGCCATTGTGTCCTAGACGTTCTGACATATTTCTGGCAGCAAGCTGTGGGGGGAAGCTGAGGCATGCAACAGAAATCAAGGGGGAATTTGAAACACACAGAAAGAGATATAAGGAAAAGAGTATGTTAAAAAAAATTAAAGTGAGGCAATTAAAAAGGGGGGGGGGGTTGTTGTCAAGCTATGTTATAGAACATTAAAGAAAGGCATCCAAGCAGAACTGAAAAAGTGGGGATTCTCCTCAGAAGCTTACAAGTTCAGAGATATGCATAAGAGAATATTTGCAAAAAGTCCCTGCACTTTTTACTGTCATTACTCAACTTAATCACAATTATTAATTTCTTTGCTTATTTTAAGATAAACTTAGAAAGTAGTGTAATTAAGTATAAACTAAATTAGGAAAATTAACAATTAACCCAAAAAGACCTTATGATTATAAACATATGCCAAATGAATGAGCCCTTGTTCTTGAAATCATAGCAAATGGTCTGGGACTCCAGGAGTTGACAGTACATGACAGTCATTCAGCTCTGTATTCTTTCTCTTTCATTTCTATAACGTGCCTGAGTACCGCTGATCCAATGCCAAATACGAAGGTAGATCAACGGGCTTGTCTGTCATGTTTTATTATGGCTTGGTATGTCTGTCCAGAAGGGGATATGAGCAGCCAGCCAGACAAACAAAAGCTTCTGTTACCTCGAATGCAACCACAGAGCATTTCTGGATATGGATCATTTATACAGTATCATTGGCCTACAGATTTAACACTAATCAGTCAAAGTACTGCTAGTTTTTCCCTACACACAAAAGAAGTAAATTATCTTTGGCGGGCTCTTGACATGGTCGTTTCTCAAGAAGGGAAAAGGGACTTGAGTGAAGCAGGTGGTCACTTTGGGAGGAGGGACGGGATACCAAAAGGAGACACATGGAGCAGAAGCACCCAGGTATCAGGTTTCCACAAGGCAGGCCTTTCACAGCTGAATGACGGCGGCATGACCTTCCAGTTACGTTGGAGGCTTTGCAGCAAACATTCCAAAAGCGGTTTGCAGTCTGACCATAAAATAGATGCTGCTCTGTGGTAACACTGACTAGTTAGTGTTTGAGCAAAGTGATGGTAGTAAGAAAATTGATTTTCTTTTTCTCTCCTTTTTTTATGTAGTCTATCATAGATTTTCTTTGTATCATTTCCAATATACTTAAGGGCACTCACTTACCTTGGATTGCTCAAGCAAAGCCAAGGAGCTTCAGTTTATTGCTTCTGTTCTTGTATTCTTGACTTCTGTTGAGAAAAAAAAACACAATTAGTATGATTTGTACACAGATTAAGTATTGCTAAGACAGCAAAGAAACCTTTGCTGCTCTCTTTTGCAATAACATTCCATGTTGCTATATAAAGTTGAGTTTCAGTCACATGCTTGACAGATGACAAAAAGCTATGCATGTCTTTTCCACATAGAAGTCCCTGCTATGTTACGAGGTGCATCTCCATATGAATGATAAAGTCAAATGCTGTGGTAGGATTCAGTACTAAGTGATGAAATTTAGCTATAGAATGTTAGCCTACACATTAAGAGATGGGAAAGGCAGAACTGAAAAAGTGGGGATTCACTTTAGAAGCTTACAAGCTTACCATACTTATGCATAAGAAAATATTTACAAAAAAGCCCCTGCACTTTTTACTTTCATGACTAGACTTAATCACAGGTATTCATTCCTTTACTTCTTTTTAGATACGTTTATAAAGTAGTCTAATGTAGTAGACTACTGATGCTGATCAATCATCACCTTAAGAGGCTTTAATAATTAACCAACAAGTAGCTGGAAGCAGTGTTGACACTGGTAAGGAAATATGTCTTTTTAAATCAATTTAACCACTTGTTTGTCTCTAAACTAGCCAAACTACAACAAGTAGGTTTGCTAGAAATTGATTAAAAATGAAGAAAATTTGGCTATAGAGGAATTCAGAGAGGAAGTATACTATTAAAAATGCTAATGCATTGATCTGCCTTAGTTTCACTGCTTCATGGAAGACTGTAAAAATATCAAACCACAACAGAAAGGCAGAAATGCGAAGCAATAATAGCAAATATAGCAGCAAAGTTTGTTGCCTAAATTGAATCTATCATTTAAATTCTGAGCATCATTCTTTACACTAAGTCAGTCTTGTGTTTGTGAAAATCAAGGCAAAGCTGAAAATGTGAGACACGTGCTGTAACTAGCCCAACATCTTACAGGTCTTATGCCAATTATTGTGTTATTGTGAAACAAAGCCCTCTTTTTGTCAGTCTCAGTACAAACAGAACCAGACTTGATGTGCGCAGAGACATGCAGCACCAGTGGGAACATGCCCTTCAGGAAAATTCTTCTTCAACCCCATCATTAACTTCCCCCTTCCCAACATTTTATGTTCAATAACCTAAACTGCTCATTACTATATTTGTGAGATGGAACAGTCAGATTTTAATACCTGTGCAATGTAACAAAGCCCCTAACAGTGATGCAAAGTTTAAAAAACGTAGTAAAGTTTGGCCTGTTTTCTGTTGCACCAATAGAATACATAGCTGAGATAAAATACCAGCCAGTAATGGGTTCGCATTACATGTGTGAAGTGAGACTTGCACCACAGCAGCTGTGTATACTCATGCCCCTGTTACTGATTCGGACTGTTATGTCACAGAATACAACAAGGTAGACTAAAGAAAATGTGACACTGTGTTTGCCTTAGTGATAAAGTTATTATATGTGTAAGCTTTTAGGTGTTGTGCTACAACGTCATGATAGAAAATGACGAAATAGGCATATCGGATTTAACAAAATCAAAATATATGAGACAGTTTGCCCCACCCTCTTTACTCAGTGTCTTGGTAAGACCACACACACATAGCACATCTGCAGGTATTTCTGGAAGATAAAATGTGGTCAACAAACAGTGAAGGAAGCAAATAAAAACACGCAGTGCCCAGAAGTACCATACCACAGTCCACGACACAGATCGTGTCGCTTTGCCTCTCGGCTTTACTTGCAGAGGGAGTAGCACAGTGCACAGCCCCACCCAGGCCTCCAGTCACACACATTCCTTGATAGAGCCCTCAGGCCAGCTGGAAGAAAGCCCAACCTCTTCTACAGTGACTAACTCCAAAGAAATGTCCTCCTTCTGACACTAACTCTAGCTTTATTTTGTGCTGCCCACCCCGCACACAGCTGGAGTGCCAACCCACCTGCAATGAGTCCACCACACACCCCCAACCTCCAGGTTCCACTCAAACAAGCAAAAATGCAACGTTAAGTCAGCAGTGCATCTGTGATGGCACCCTAAGACGTGTGTCAAATGTGCATTGAGAGGTTACATTTGTGTCTTTTGGCTTAACATGCGCTTCACTGACGCAGTAAACAGCAGCCAGCTCATCACCCCATCACTTAAAAAGAGACATGCCTCCAAACCTGGACTGTTAACTTTCATACTTTGTGTTTAAGTAGGTCAATACATTCTGGAAACTGATCAAAGCAGCTTTAGTCCGTCTACCAATTTGATTGCCAAATCCAATCAATTTAGTAATGAGAAAAGAGGAGCAATGTGACAATGATTAAGGCTCAATTTCAGAGTGTATCACACAGAGTGGAGCTCTGATAAAATTTGATTATGAGCAGATAAAAAGACCTCAGTACAGCAAGGCAGATACGGAGAGAAGACCAGTGACCTAATCAGTCTTGTTGTCAAAACAAAACAGACTCTCTTTCCCCCCCTGCTGCATTGTATTTAGACACAGCAAAAGCGAAGAAATACCAAAGAAGACAGCAGTATCTGGCCTTCAATGTTCCTTCACAAAAGCTGATAGGACGTGCACGTGTGACGTGTATAAAAGGAACGAGAGTCAAAATAATTGGTTGTTTTCTGCACTCCATAGTCCACATAGCCCTGAAGCAAACCACAAGTCCAACATAAGACTAAAGCCTGCCCACTGATGCTAACTTGGCCTGCTTCTGATTAAGCCATTGTGACTTTGGCAGGAGTCATGCACCAAATGGAAAAATTGAAGAAACTCTTAAAATCCTCCTCTCTTGCTCTTAAAAAATCAGAAATGAGGGGTTGCATTTGAAGCATACTTCAGCTTTGCCTTGATTTTCACATACTTTTTAAGCTCTGCACAGTTCTGTCATAACTGCTTGTTCTCTATTACACACCAAGACATTTAAGACCTCAGTTTTAATTTCCTCTCTCGAGGGTTCTTACAGGTTTTTTAGAGATCCTGTTCCTTTGCATTCCTATTTTTTGCATTCCTATTATTACACCAAGAACTGCCTTTGAGATTGTATATGTAACACTGTGCTATAGACAAAAAACTTGATTTGATTTGAAAAAAAAAAAGCTTATTCAAACTATTTTTTAAGATCTGTTCTGCTATTAAATGAGAAGTGATCCTGGGCTAATGCCCAACAATAGTTTCAGTGGCATGACTATCAAGCAGCTAGGATGTAAATTTTGAACTGGCATAACAAGTTAGACCAAAGAGAAGCGCCAAGTTTGAACAGATCAGCCATATAAAAAGAACATCACAAGAGGCTTACTGACACATTAAACAGGTCACGCCAAAAAATTGCCACGCTTAGTTTAACATGGCAATATATTCAGCTGCTGCTTGAATGAGAGCAAATACAAGTCCATTCACGGAACAGGGGACAAGGTTATGAGTAGGAGTTAGGTGGCAACCATAGCAGCAGAATGTATATATAGATGTGAGACTTCCTTTGCTGTAAGAACCTGAAGCATAAACAGAGCATCAGGATTGTACTTTCAATTCACACTTCTATTTAGACCACACGAGAGTTCCATCCTCGAATATCTTGTGCCAGATAAAGAAAAACCATGTTGAATGTATTTCTCAGTTTACATTCCAAGCATGGTTGCCCTGACATTTAGGGCATGTATCTCCAAGTAGTGCTTAGTAACAGATGGCTTTTGATATTTTTATATAGGAGATGTTTGGAGGAGTACTGGTGCGAGTTCTTGCTTTATCAGACAGAAATGATTCACGCCCTTTTTGAGCTCCATGCTTGGGAAGGTCCCACATTGCTAAAATCTACAGTGAAATAGTCTGAATTGCATGCAGGTGCGTGGTTGCCACAGAATTATTTGTGACTTATTGTGACTATTTCATCGCAAATTTAAAATAACTGTTTCTCAAAAACAAGACAAGCTAATGATAGGCGCTCCACAGAGAATACTGAGTACACACTGAAACATTCCAGCAGTGGGTGAGTGAGAAGGGCGTGGCTGCTGGGTGGATTGCCTAGAAAGACGTTCTGAAATTGCACACTATGGTTAAATTTTTATTTGCAACTTTAGGGAAGAAAAATGTTGCTCATTGAAAATCTTCTCACTCTATACATTTTGCATTGTTTTATCCAACCAATATCCAGGGTGTGCGTCTACGGAGTCGTCCGGAATGCTTGGTTTCGTAATGAAAGCCAAGTGTGAAAAGGATACGCTATAGTTTGTTCGAAACCACCACGCTTTCTTTCAGCTTACTGAACACCCCCCGCCCCACCTCTTCAACCACCCGCTCAACAAACCCATGAGGAAATAGCAGAGGAAGCATGCCAGAGACCAGTTTCCTTGCATTTTATACTGGAACATATGAGTAACACCATTCCTCGCGCCTGTGCTGTCAGTCAACACTGCGAGAATACGCAGTTGCGCTGGCAGAGAACTGCGATAAGCATCTCAACACTGTCAAGGCTCCAAACTGTCATGCGGCATGCTCTTCTTCCAGTTCTTCCTACTAACGACGCTGGTTGTCACATGGGTGAGAAGAGCCCCAACATCGGAGTGAAAGAAAAAGAAAAATGTGATCAATGAAGCTTTAAAATTTCAAGGTGTGCTTTTTGGAATTCCAAGTGACCTACATTGCTAGGTGACAAAATAATGTACCCTCTGTACTGCTGCACTGGTAGACAGAGCAAGTATTTAGACAAACAGTATCCACCCCAGGCCAAGATGAGGCCCTGTTAACTGACGAGCATTTCAGCTTTGGGGCGGTTAGGAGCAGCTCTGAATGTTTGAGCAGCTGAAATATAAATCACGCTTCAAATTTATTATGTTTAAGGTCCACACCCTCTCTTGAAGCAAAACTCTACACCTGAAATATCATGTTTAGTTTGGTTATTCACACCGTATTATCACCAAGTAAAGCTAAAAACGCTAAACATAATGCCGATTAAATGACAATCACTACATTTGGCCCTTTAAGCAGCCTGTGTTATAATCAATCACCTTGACTAGAGCAATTTGAGAAATGCCACACATGTACAGCTGTGGGTCACCCAGTGTGAGTTAAGTGCACGTTGTAGAAAAGACTACGCAGAGCAGGGCAAAAATCAGCTCTCGCTAACCCTCCTCTAAAGTGACTTTTGGGTGTGGCAGGAGGGAGCTGCAGAGGACACGCAACAGCACAATGAAATTTGACTTCCAAGTGAGATTAAACAAAGGATCTTTCTGAACTCCTGATTCTCAACTTATACACCCACTTCACATAAAATATAGGCAGCACTACATGCAGTGATTCTACTTTAAACCACAGCTGAAATGATGCCATTTTAGGCTTTAAATATATTATGGGAAAGAAAATAATCCCCTGACTTTAGGGTTTCAGAAATGCCTCTTTTTCTTTTCCCCAAACGTGCAAAGTCTCAGCTCTTCCCCCTGCTCTGCCTCAAACCTGGTTTCAATTAGCTTGTCTTTCCAAACCACTACATTCCATTACTCCCCTCCTCAACCCCCTGCCCCGCCCATCCCCCCCTCACCAACTCACTCCATGACTCTCTTTCCCTGTCTTCCTCCCTTCTTCTCCCCCTGCACACCCTGGCCAGGAGCCCAGGTTGAGAGACCCATGGTAAAATAGACAAAGACAAATCTTTCTCTGCTCAAGACCTTAAAAAGTAAGTCATGAAATGCATATATGCCTCAGAGCCAAGCAGCAGTGAAAGTTTTCAACTTCATGTTGCGCAACACAAACCAAAAAGGTTTTGTTCAAAAGCTGATACATATTTAGCCAATAAACGGAAGCAGTTTGCATTTAAAAATATAATACTTTTTGTATCTCTCTCTCTATATATATATATATATATATATATAGAGAGAGAGAGAGAGAGAGAGAGAGAGAGACCACCAACCAACAACACAGTGAATCCAGTGAAAAGACATAGAAAAAGCCATAATCATGACTTTTCTGTCTTCGCCAGCACACCCTTAGTATCCCACAAAGGACATTTAAATGTAATTTGCTGAGACCCGCTGCAAAAAACTGTCTGTAGCGTGGATGGTTTTCCTTTTTTTCACTGGCACTAAAGGGTGTGCCACTGTGAGGAGACAGCAAACAAAAAGGGAGGGAGAGAAAAAAAGAAGGGGGAGGAGAGAGGGGGGATCCACACCCAAAGTTGTTGCTGTACACTCTCATAGGGAAGTAGTAGTAACTTTTTAAACTTCCATTTCTTGGCAAACGACATTGGATTAGATAAGAGAGACATCTGAGCGATAACATCAACACTGTCAACAATCATTTCGGCACCTCTTTGATATAACTTTAAAATGTGGGTTATTGAGGTCCTGTACAAAAGAAAAAGTCCCACTCACTATGCAAAGTACATCTACACATCCACACTGCACAAAGGTGAAATAACTACACAAATGTAGCTATTCTTATTTGTTATCTCTAAGAAGGATCAAAATCATCTAAAGGCAATAAAGTATATAGCCATGAATGACTTATATGCATCTTAGTAAACTGCACAACTTCAATCTAGTCTGCATTCATGTGGTGGGTGTGTACCCACACCCTCATCTCCTGTCCTGCTCTATTTTAATTAAATATTTATCATGTATGAATGTTTTCACACAAAGTTACTGCCACTCTACATATTTACAATGAAAACAAATAACACTGTTTAGGCAAGATGCTCCTATGCAAAAACATTCCCTTAGGGGAAAATAAAAAGTCCTTGAAAAACTCTGGAGACAAGTTTTCTAGTCATATAAAACAACTCATAATAATCTTACAATGATAAACACGCTCACTGCAAGTGCCTGGTGCTATGAACAAGAATGCTGGACAGATAACTGTGACGCCTTTGCAAGTTAGTTATTTAAACTCTGGCCAAGTTGGAACGACTGATTTGTTGTCTTGCAGCAGAGTTGTTAAAGTTCAGAAACCGAAAGAACAGTTTAAAAAAAAACTTTTAACTTCAATTAAAGAAAATAAAAAAGTGTGCAGCTTTACCTGTGCGCAGCCTTAGCGCCCTAGAAGCCTCACGCCTGCTTGAGCATCCTTGAAAACTTCTCCACTTCTCCTCACTCCAAGAAAAACACTTTCACACTGTCACGCCTTCGCAGTCTGCTAGGACTCTGTCAGTCTTTTTCGATTTCTTGATCAACCAGATTTCCAGGGCGTTTTCTGCCCCCTCTCTCTCCCTCCCTCCACCGTTCTGAGTTGATTTTAACCTCTTTTTTTCTGAGTGGCTGCTAGTCTGGGCTGAGCAGAGTGGTTGGACAGGGAGCTGGGCTGGGCTCCTGGTTAGCAGAGGGAGGGGAATCCAGGGGAGGGGACCCGTGTACGGGGAGTGGTCCTTAGTGTTCATGGGACCACCCACTGCTTCACAAAGATGGTTGCAAAGACATGCAACAGGAAAAGTGAGCTCTGCTTGAAAAAAAGAACTTTCAACACTTAAATGTCAGGTTTTCAAACTCTTGTTATCCGAATGTAATCAGCACTATGTAACAAATTATTCAGGCAAGAAACTTGTACTGTTTTTATCATGATTTTTCTGTTTAAAACAGCTTTTTGCCCACTTCAGTTTTTGTTCTACAGTATAACAATGAAGTACACAGAGAAGAAGAGATGCACTCCACAAAATGGTTATCATGACAGACAATGACATCAACATGTTATTAAAACATTTACACTGCCGCACATAAACTGACACAAAGCTATCATTACCAAAATGGTTCGGGACGACGGCCTTTAGTTAAACACAAAAGGCAAGGTGTCTATTTACAAGACAGGATTTACAGAAGTCTGTCGCTTTAATGGGGCCCACCCTGTGCTAGTGAACTGCAGTAGCAATATAATTTATATTAAATAATTTTTGCATCTAATTTGGACATTAAAATGTATTCCACATTTTCACTGTGCTTTACACAGGTTGTTGTTGTTTTTAGCTCACTTTCATACGCTGAAAACTGTAGTTGCAGTAGTCATTGCTGTAATTGTCTGTGTGCTGTATGTTGAGTGTGTCACATGAAAGTTTATTTTTAGAGTGAAACTGCTAATGTTAAGCTTAAAGTCCTAGATTAATGTCAGAGTACTTCTTTTACATCCCACTGTGTTAAAAGTACTGCAAAGCCAAACACTGAACGTTATGAATTAAAACCAAAACATTCTAAATGATCATAGCTATGAAATGTTTCAATGTGGTATGCAGACACGCAAAGCGATGGCATGATAGCTTGTTACGAGAGTCACTGGGCGGTTCCTCTGACAAATCATACTGGGATTATGGGTATGGCTGTGTCACCAACAGGCTTATAGATGAGAACATCTGATAAGCCATGACTAACACTATGTTTTCCCAGGTATTCCCATCCATTTTTGTTCCCGGTGTACACCAGCAGCTTTGTTAAATGAACTTAAGTACTCCCCTCAAGGACATGTTTCGAAAAGTGTTTATTTGGGCGTTCCTAACGCTACTAATGCAAGTGTGAAAGCTGTTACTACAGTGTTTAGCAGAGCAGAATTTATAACTTATGTGCTGGTTTCTTGTAGCTCACCACAAGCTAACCTTTACCATCACTTATCCATTATTTTTATTTTTATCCTATTGTATATATAATTTTATTTCATTTCATTCTATTGTATATAGTATTTTATTCTATTCCATTCTATTCTATTCTGTACAGTTGTGTACAGTATCTTATTCTTATTGTATTCCAGTGTTCTCTAATTTTATATACAACTATATATAACTTTGCACTGTTCACTTTCTGCTAGACAAAACAAATTTCCCACGTGTGAGACTAATAAAGGTTATTTTATCTTATCTTATCTTATTACTCTTGGCTGCTTTTACCATCTAGCATAGCTGTATATAGCTATGGATATTTTGTGCCACATGCTTTTATCAGTAACAGTAATTTTGGAGGGTTGTGGATTTTTTGCCAGTCTTGGTAGCTGGGGACCTCCGTCAGGACCTCAACTCCTGGCTGCCACACGGCTACGGTGCCTCCTGCGGGTGTTGGGCCTGCAGGAAGATGAGTCCATGTCCCTTTTTCGGGCTGTGCCCGGCCGGGCCCCATGGACTAAGGCCCGGCCACCAGACGCTCGCCCTCGGGTACCCTCCCCAGGCCTGGCTCCAGGGCAGGGAGGGTGAACTGCTCCCTCTGAATCGCTCTTTGTCTTGTCCCTCACCCAGGACCAATTTGTCATGGGAGACCCTACCAGGGGGCAAAAGCCCCCAGACAACATAGCCCCTGTGATCCCTGGGACACACAAACCCCTCCACCACGATAAGGTAGCGATTCACGGAGGACAGGAGGCAGGGAGGAGGCCCCAGGGCAGACCCAGGACACGCTGGAGAGATTATATCTCTCGGCTAGCCTGGGAACACCTTGCTGTTTCCACGGACAAGCTGAAGGAGGTGGCTGGGGAGAGGGAAGTCTGGGTTTCTCTGCTTGGGCTGCTGCCCCCGTGACCCCGCCCCAGATAAGCGGAAGAAAATGGATGGATGGGATTTTTTGTTTGGGTTTTTTAGGGGGAGTATATGTGTGCATCCAGTTTTGAAAATAGAATTCATATGTGGGTTGTGGATGCACATGTGTGTTTTAAGTGTACACATGTGCGTCTCCCCTTCTCACAACAGTGTCTAGTGTCTTTGAAATTCCTGCAGTGTCCTTCTCAATATGCCACACCCATACTCAGCGAGATGAAGGCAACATGCAAGGAATAGATTACATACAGAGGAAGTTACTGTGTTGTTTTTGTTGGGAGTGAACCGGGGAGTGGTACTCACACGCTTGTGCTTGTGCGCGCACACACGCATATTTTAATGTTACTACACTAAACTTTGAGTCAGGAGATCTCAGATTTTGTTTTGTTGCGAAAACAGGGTGCAGCTCTCCCACAAAAAAGAAGGCCCGCTGTTTGTGCGCAGACGTGTGTAGATGTCTGTAATTGTGAGCACACTGAGATAAAAGTGGAGAAATAACACCAAACATGTGCAAGACATGCAGAGATCCTAAAGAACTGTGTATAAAGTGGGGTAAAGCTTTACTCTTTGGGATGGAACAGTGTTTAAAAATGTTCAGGGGAAGTTTCAAAAGAGTTTTTTTCAAAAGTTTCAAAAAGAAAAACGTTACTTTAGTGTTTAAAGTATACTGTGTGTATGAGTGCACAACTACTAAAGCAATCATCTAGTGCTTATAGTATTTTCCACAGAATTTAACGTTTTAACTTGAACAGAATAAGATTTCACCCACTTTTGAAGTACAGCGCCTATTTGATTCCCTTTCTTGCCAACGGGGTGTGGCCTTTAAAGAACAGTCTTAGCTACCAGAAAATGCTGATTCCAGACAGACAACTCCTGTTATGTGTCTGCTAGCAATCAGGATTACTCCTGTCAAAAACGATGCACTGCTCACAAACTTTTCAGTAGGAGTTAAATGTTTACAGTTATTTAATAACTCATCAGTAAATCATATCATTGGTTATTTTTTCAGATACTCATGACGTTTATCTATAATACAGGTGTTCACATATAAATTTCTTATAAATATATCTGCTTTTATTCTAAATGAACTCACTGCAGCAGGTCAGAGGGAGACAAAGATAAGCAGAGCAGTCAGTTAGTTCTGGGACAACTCAAATGTGGACTGTTCAAACTGGATAATTGTGAAATGTGCTAAATATCTTCCATGCTCTTGCAAAGTCAATGTCCTCTGTGTATCACTGTTTTGTTGCAGATCACTCACTTGAATACAAGGATATGTGGGAATGGGTGTGTTTCCTGGCTCTAGGTGTGTCAGCCAGTGTGAACCAGCGCAAATAGCTTGGCTCAGACGCACGATGAGTCACAGCCCATGACTACAATGAAAACATGGGCAGCTCAGACTGCAGAGAGGAGTAAAATCAGAGGATTAGATTGGGATGGACGGTTGAATAAATGTGTGTGTGCTTGTGTGCGTATGTGTGTGTGTCTGCGTGTGATTGTTTGTGTGCGTGTTATGAATAATTTCTCCCGCAGGATAAGGGAAGTCACATGCCACTGGCCTAACTGTAACTTGTGATATGACTGAATAAAAGTAACATAACAACCAGACAAAATAACTTTTAATCTATCAAATTTCTTTCAGCAGCTGTTTGGACCTGCCTATAGGTAAGAAGGTGTGAGTAGAACACCTGATTGTGCAACACAGGCTTAATCATACACAATGGACTGATCTCAATCAATGATTTCCAACCACATATCAGGTTTTTAAACTGAATGAACACATAACTCCAATTTTAGCCAAACTACATTGGCTCCCTGTTAAATATTGCATAGATTTTAAAATTCTTTTGTTCACTTTTAAAATTCTAAATAATTTAGCGCCCGCCTATCTCTCTGAACTACTCCACTTATACAATCCCAACAGAGCACTTAGATCATCCAATCACATGCTCCTTGCACAACCTAGGTCTCGAATGAAGTCGAGAGGAGATCAATGTTTGCTGCTTTTTATTTCTAGAGACATTGTCAAAATGCTTCTGTTATGATTTTTTCAAACTTCTGTTAAATAAGTGGACGAAGATGGATGGATGGATGGATGGATGGATGGATGGAGTATTCAGTGTAATGACTAACCATCCCTGGCAGTAATCCCAGAAAAAATGAGAAAAAAAGAAATTCAACGCATCTATTTGACGACAAGATTACTTTCTCTAGTTTTGCTTGCTTGAAAAGTTTGCTCAAAAGTATTTTAAAAGCCTGGTTTGAATTCAGAGAGCTTATCAAAAGCAGGCGGTCAGTACGCAGAAAGTGAGCAAATAGAAGTTCTTTGTAGCTTCATTAGATTTTTTTTACACAATGCAACATTGTCAATATTGTGTTGAGTGTTTTTCCAGCCAATGCTGAAGACAGAGTGAGATAAACATTGTCAAAGAGGCATTGTCAGTAGTGGAGAATGTCAAAAGAAATTCACCACAAATTCCACTTGTGTTTTTGGTGAATGAATGCACTATTGTAGAAGATGAGTTCAAAATAACTGCAAAAATAATTAGAACAAACACTGACCTGTCTTATGTTCCTACAGCTGCTGCCAGTTTCTTTTTATTTACTTATTTAGGATGTTTTATCTTTTTCTATGGTTTGATTCTGAAAGCAAATCAAATTGAAGTAAGAACTTCTTTAAGGAAAACACCCACTAAATCTAAAAGAATTGTATTCTATTGCACTGCTAAAGAATAAAAGTTTTTTTAATAAGTTATTAATATAGG